CACCCCACTTCCCCTGGGTGTCGGAGATGCAAAGGATTACTCAAAGCCCATCTCTTCTGAGCAATGAGAAGCCCAGAAGTGGTTAACTTCCCTTGGGGCCGCTCAAGCAAGAGGCATCCCTTCCTCGGGAAATTAATGCCAAATTGGGGTTCTCTTCCTGCATTTATTCTCCAGACCAGGAAGCTACAGGAAGAGAACAAAGATGGGGTTATAGTTTAACAATATAGGCTGGTAACTTTCAGTGAAACAAGCCAGATGACATTCCAGTAAGGCAATTAAGTGGTCTTATCAACACAAGCTTGATCTTAGCAAACATTCTTTCTCCCTCTAGTACTTTCTCAGTATCTTTACATAACAGTCAGTAACTAGTCTGTCTTTGAGCCAGCAACCTGCTGTGCTACAATTCTTATCTTGCAATAGAGACTTATAGCCTGAGGAAAATTTCCTGTCCTTGCAAGGTCAATATTTGAAACTGCAAGGCTTTGGAAAACCAGGCCCTGTGAAGTACATATGCTTTTTTTTTTTAAAGATGACTGGTAAGGGGATCTTAACCCTTGGCTTGGTGCTGTCAGCACCATGCTCAACCATTGAACTAACTGGTCATCCCTATATAGGATCCGAACCCGTGGCCTTGGTGTTATCAGCACCGCACTCTCCCGAGTGAGCCACGGGCCGGCCCGTACATATGCTTTTTGGTATATTCCACGTGTGAGTGTGTGTATGTATATGTGTTTGTGTGTGTGTATGAGTGGTGTGCATATGTATATATGTGTGTGAATGAGAGAGACTTGATGTGGATGTGACACCAGTGGAAGTCTGTTGGGATCCTGAAGGAGGGGCTTTTGGATGTTAGTAAAATAGGCACATTCCCTTTTCCAGTGGAAACAGCTGGAGAAGGTCTCCTCTGCACCAACTCAAAAAGGGCCCAAACTAAACAGAAGCTTCTAGGGAAGGGGACCTTGATCCCAGGGACCTCAGTTTTGGATAGCAATGACTCTGGAGTCCTTTTTTTCAGGTAGGGCTCCTCTCTGGGCATCCTAGACTGTTGAGACCCCCTGACCTCTGTGGTCAGGAGTCTGGAGAAGCTCCCTGGGCATCTTGGGAGGAGCTGCTTTTGCTTTGGATTTTGCTCTCTGGGCTCTTCCAAGACGTTTTTTCTTGAGAGATCTGCCTCAAGCCACACACCCTTCACATCTGGACTAGAGAAAGTACGCTTTCACTTGGGAAATCTGACCTTAAGTCTTCTTCCCATGAATGGACAAAACTCAGGCCATTTTTCTCCCTTCTCACTTTATCTAGGAATTCTTTTTGCCCTGCATGTCCTTGCTCTACCCTCTACCAATGTATTGGGTCAGAACTCAAAATTCAGCCTGTCTTTCCAGGCTGACTGGGTTCTTAACAGTCCTGCAAGATCTTCACTACCTTGTTGACATTGGGAACTTTCTCCCCTCCCTGCCGGAGTCTTGCCTTTTTATGACAAAGAGGGAGACTTCAGGGATCCCAGGAACTAGTCTACACTGTCAGGTCAATACCAAGCAGTGTTCAGATGTCCCCTCTGCTCCCTGCTCTCTGCAGGAGATGAGGATTTTGCTGGCCAAGCACTGCAGGGTTCCTGATGTGGTACATGCCTGATCATGGGGCTTGTCTAGTTTGCCTCCAGCCCTCAGCCTAAATCTGGGGGTTAGTAGTGACTGCTCAGACACTACAGTGTCTAGTTCTGCTCTTTTGTTAGCTGCCCTGAGGCAAAACTTAGTATTTTCTAACATCCAGTCATAACTTTCTTCTCTTGTTTGAGGCAGATGAGTGGAGACTTCAGTCTCAACTTACTGTATAATTATTTGAGACATTGAAGACCCAAAGATCTCTTGCTCTAAATATTCTTGCTCAGTTTAACTTATTTTCTGGAAAGGTGCCCACTGACCTTTTCCCTCTCCTTCGGTCTCCTCAGCTAGACTCAGCCCCTTGCCTGTGGAGACTGAGCGTGTACTCTGGCAGGACCTGCTTCAGCACTGAGAGCTCGGGGGTGCTGGGCCGCCATTCCTGGGCCACTAGACCACAGTCCACAGGTGCAGACTGCAGGTGCTAGACAATCTTGGTTAGCAGGCTTATTATGTAGGGTAGAATTTCTGTCCCTATTGTCCCCATGTTTATGGGAAATTTTTTTTTTGGACATTTCCCTTCAGGTTTATTCTTATGAAGGAAATAAAACATCCTTGCGTGACCCTGTGTATCTGGTTGAGTGTAAGTGACTTGGTTCATGGGCAGTGAATGAAGTAAATGTGTAAGTATTTGGCACATCAGGATGTAATACTTTTTTATTTTATTATGCTTATTATAAGTCTTGGTCTGGCTTTTCCAATAATTCTGCTTAAGATGATTTCTGTTGTGCAGTTTGTGGTGTTTTAAAAAGTTTTTAAAATAGCTTTTATTTTAAACTATTTTATTTTAAAATAGTTTTTAAAAGTTTTTAAAATTATAGGGCTGGCCCTGTGGCTCACTCGGGAGAGTGTGGTGCTGATAGCGCCTATATAGGGATCCTATATAGGGATGGCCGGTGCACTCACTGGCTGAGCGTGGTGCAGACAACACCAAGTCAAGGGTTAAGATCCCCTTACCAGTCAAAAAAAAAATAGCAATTATACACAGTTATGTGGTTATTTGGCCTGTTGGGGAAATAATTGAAACTAAAATCTCCAACCCAGAAAACCTCTTCACCAAAATAGAAGAGAAAAAAAAACAGTTTTATTATTGAATAAAAATTAAACAAGACTGTCATGTACATCACAGGCAATTTGCTGATGACTGCAAAGACAGAATGCTCACCCTTTCTAACAACCCATGCATATGTGGTCTCAAGAGAAACAGCAGCGAGTCCTCAAGTAAGAGAACTTGATGGCACCATTTGTCACACACAGTTCATCCTAATTCACCTGGTAATTGGGGTGACCCAGATTGGTAACTGTCTTTATCCAAAGGAGAAATAAACCTCTCCCATCTTTGTGGCAGGAGGTAGTTTTACAGCTTGGAGTGAGGCACTGCTGAAGTTAGGCTCCTGCCCTCCCACAGAAACTGGGAGATGGGGCAGGAGGGAGATGCTGTCTTTCTTGATGACTTTAAAGAGATGACTCCCAGGTCCTCGAGAAAATCACTCCTGGGTCGTTAAATTGGCAAAGGCTTTTTAAGCTTTAAAAGAGATTTACACACTTCTCAAAGGGGCAGTGAAAGAATTTACAATTATAACTTTCTAAAGTAAATGCTCTTTGAAAAGCAGTAGGGAAAGTCTCTTTCTCTTTTTTCACAAGGAAAAATTAGAGTTTTTCCTTATTATCGTTCTGTATTTATACTTACAGGCCTGTGAGCACATGGGTGTCCCCCAGGGGTGTTAGCTACCGTCCTGCATATCTGGTGATATGCACTAGGGAAGGGCAAAGGCCAGGCCATAGTCTCTGAAACTTCTGGTGAGTTAAACAGCATGGCTCCCAGGCTCACAGTATAGACCCTAGGAAACACTGGGACCTCCTGTGTCCTGCCACCCCTCCAGGCATCTCCTACATCAGGGATTAGAGACTCTTACAAAAGGCAGATTGTGGGGTAGTTTCCCTGGGTCACCATCTGCCAGCCCTGGAAAATAGGAGATGAGTAAATACCCAACAGAAGCTGGGCCACCCTGGCCTTTTTCGTGATTCCTTAACTCAGCAGCAATCTTTTTTTATTTTAAAATTTAATTGTACATATTTGTGTGGAGTATAGTGTATTTCAATACATGCATATATCATACAACAATTCACTTAAGGTAGATGGCATATCCATCCCTTGAACATTTTTCTTTTCTTTGTGGGGATTATGGTCAAGATTCTCTTTTCTAGCTATTTAGAAATACACAGTATAATATTATTAGCTCCAGTCAGCCTAGGACATCAGAACTTATTCTTCCTATCTACCTGTAACCTTGTACTCATTAACTCACCTCTTCTCCTTTCTGCACCCTCTGACCTCTTCCCTTCCCAGCCTCTGGTAACCATTATTCTACTCTCTACTTCTATCAGAACCATTTCTTTTTTCTTTTTTTTTTGATTCCACAAATGGGTGAGATCATGCAGTATTTGGATTTCTGTGCCTGACTTACATCACTTAACATGATGGTCCCCATTTCCACCATGTTTCAGCAGGGATCTTGATCTTTCTCAGTTACCCCTTGGAAACCTATTGCCTGGGCTAGTACTGCTGGTTTCTGAGGGAAAGTACAGGCAGTATTTATCCCACTGTGAACTGAGGTAGAAGCAACAGAAAAGATTTCCTTAGGCCTCTGTCTGGCTACCATCTGCTGTAGGCTGCAGCCAGGTCCTGCTCAGCCCAAAACCCACACATAAACTTCACCATAGCCTTCAGTCTCCCCCAGGGTCTCTCTTTTTCTCTTTCTTACTATTACTTCCTCTGATCTATGTTTTGCTTTTGTTCCAGGGCTGATCTGAGACTAGGAAGCCAACATGCCAGGCTAATTCACCATCTTGGTCTGAAAGCCGTTTTCTGTTTACTGTCCTGCCTGGGAATGAGTTGCATTTTACTCTGTAGCACCTGTGCAAATAATTCCATTAAGGAAATATTGCTGCGGAACGTGAGGCATCATTGTATTTTCAGAGTTTCTAAATGTCTCTGCTGAGCAGTTTGGTGTCATGGTGCTCCCCTCGGGGGTGTTTGCTAGAACCAGGGAGGTGAGTGGCTTCAATCTGGCATTCAGGGTGGGAACCAGGAGTGTTAGGTGCAGTGTGCTGTGTAGACCTGGCCCAGACCAGGCAGGTCAGGCTCAGTGGAGACATGCCAGTAGGTCACATTCCATCCTGTTTCTCAATGACCCTGATGTGAGTCGACCAAACATCTAGTCTGAGGCTTTAAATCGGTTTCCAGCAAGAGAAAACCAAGATTTATGTTCCCAAATTAATTATATTATCTAAAATAAAATTTCCACTGTGTCCACAGGCCACAGCCCTCAGGAACAAGACAATTTGTCTAAGACAAGAAAGAAGAGGCCTCAAGACTAAAGATGCATTCTCAGTTTATAGACCTTTGAGCAGAGGCCTCTCTCCAGAGTGTCAGGACAGAGAAAAGTCACAAAACAGCAAATTTCCTAAGAGCAGCAGAAAATGATCAAGTCACAGGTGAGTTATTTGTTTATCCTCTAGCAGTGTTTTCCCATGTGATGAGGATTACAGGAATCTCTACAACAAACAGGAAAGATCTAATACATTTCAATCATAAGAGAAAATATAAACTTGGGAAAGAAGATGGCAAAAGAAGCATAGAGTAGATTAAAAAATCATACAAAAGTCTTAGAGTTGGAACATAGGTAATTAAGAAATTAGGTCCTTCATTGTTACAGAGTTGAGCTATAAGCTTTTCTCAGATATTCCCAGAAGCCGTAACAGAAAGAGATACAGGAGTTGTTACATGTTTTTCTCTGTCAAAAGGGAAAAGCAGACATGAAGAAAATGTTTTGATAGCTATTTATATAAGTGGTATAGCGGCCCTATAAAAAATAAACATATTTCCTAGGACTATTTCTTACAGGGTTCCTCAATGTCAGCTAAAGGTATGAATTTAAAGAACTCAGAGCACAGTTTCTTTGGGCATCGAGAACAGGGGCCTTCAATACATATCACACTTAGATTCTAGTTAGGAAAGAGACCTAAATCCTCTGGCAGAATTGCCATCACAAAACCTTCAAATGGTCCCGAGAAATACACTCTCTGTTGGAATTTTGGTACATTTTAGGTAGAAATGTTTTTGCTCCTGTTGGCAGCAGCTTGGCATGCCAGGATGTGCCTTCTGCCCTATTTCCATACTTTCTTGAGGCAAGAAACAGGCTATAGTGTCCCTTCACCTGTTGAAGGAATTGTTATTCACCTAGCTAACCTCTTTCCCACTCACTCTTTTTCTTCCTTCTCTATTTTTCTCTGTTGTTTAAATAAATATACGGTAATACTGACTTTCCCTTTTTTTGATGTACAGCTGTATGTCAGAGCTGAGTTGCTGGGTGTTGGAGTAGTCAATTAAAGCAACAAGCCACTTCATTACATCACAACTGTGATGGTATATACAAGAGACTGAGTCCCCCCATCCTTCCCCCAGTTCTGTTTTCCCCCCTGGGAACACACACTGGCCAATGGTCAGGTCCATCCATGCAGATGTGAGGGCATCTCACCGCCCAATGCTGAGCGAGCCCTGGACAAAAGGCTCCAGCAGTTTTATGGACCCTGGGGTTGGGAGGAGGAAACTGGGCTGGGAGTGGGAAACTCTCTTCAAGGTTCTCCCACACTCCATAGTGAGTCTTGGCAAAAGCACCCGAGAAAGGCCTCTGCCAAAGGCCTCAGATAAAGAGACAGGAGTGAAGGCATCTGGGCAACTATGTGTAATGTCACGAACCTTGACTGGCTCCCGTCAGAGACTGTAGCACACTCCAGCTGTGCACCAAGTATGGTGTGGGAGGGCAGCTTTCCCCTGTGGGGCCTGCCAGGTGAATGTGAAAATTCACATCTAGGTTTTTAACCAGAAGCAGAACTCCTCAACTCCACTCCTTGATTTTTCAGGAACTGAATGTGAAATAGGCTACCACATCATGACCCTAGGAGATCAGACTTTGAGGGGCTGTGACAGTAACCATATAGTTAGTCTGAGGTAATAGCAGACCAGGGCCATGAAGAAGCTTGCTCCAAGCAGGACGGTTAGTCCCAGAGGACTGGATGTAGTTTCAACTGTTACCTTGCCAGGAAGGCATCTCATAGCCCATTAGTGAGCCAGGAGGCTTCTTATGTTTCTGTATGGATCTTTTTTACCTGGCCCGAGGCATCAATTTAGGCATAGAACTCTGGCCAGTAAGTTGAAACTGACCTAGATGTCTTCGGGGGTGAGACAGTGTCATGATAGGGTACACTGGGAAATACAATCCTGAGGGGCACTCGTGGTCCCTCTGGAAACGGAATTTACAAGGTTGGGGCACCCCAAGCAGGGTATACGTTAATCAGGCAGTCAGATTAACAAGGCTCCCAAGGGGGCTTCCCATTGTGGGGCCTCCGGCCCGGGGTTCTTAATCCAGTCTGGATAATTTAGTTTAGTCCTTGGTTTCAGAGGGACCACCTGGGGCAGTTAGTTCCAAACCATTTTATTTGTCCATGACATCAGTTTGTTCCTCTACACTTTGCTGCTGGAGTGTGGACAGCATCTGGGAGATGTCCTGGTGGAGAGTGTAGGAGCCGGGCCACCCTGGTCAGCACCATCAGGAATCTTTGGCCTAAACTCAGCACTCAGCGTAAATCCGCAACATTCACAGAAGCTTAGAAAGGCAGCTGGGGAGTTTTCATTTTGGCTTTTGTTTGTTTTTTTCACGAGGAGGAGAAAGCTTTTAAGAACAAGTCTGAAAAATAAAGATCATCAATGTTCTTTCCCCTTCTTTGTGCCTCCCCAGGTGTCGGTTTAGGTTTTGTTTCATTTTTCTGTTGTTATTATCAGTGTTTCCCATTTAGTAATCAAAATAAAAATTTTTTTTAAATCATCAGCTGTTTTCATCCAGACCTTTCTTGTTTGGAAATTTTGTATGCAAGAAGGACAAAAATACTTTTATATAACTTAACCAGAAAGATGCATCATATTTAAGAATTGGTTAGCACAAAAGCCTGAATTCTTAAAAGATTTTAAAATGGGTTTACATAATCTCCCATGGAAAGTTCTTGCATTGTCTCATCTGTTGCGGGAAGGGCAGCTCTCTCCTGTGCAGGTGAAGCCTTTGTAATTGCTGATGGTTGGACCTGAAAATTCACACATAGGTTTTTAACCAGGAGCTGACTTCGTTGTATGAGTTTTAGAACACATATCAGTTCATGTATTCAGCATTACAGTCGGGGCTCAGAAGGGTTCCATCACCCAAGGAACTTCCTGTGCCGCCCCCTTGTAGTCATGTCTTCCTGCATTCCTAACCTCTTCCAGCAACTGATCTGTCCTCTTGTCACTTTGGTTTTGCCTTTTCCAGAATGTCATATAAGTGGAATCATAAGTATGTAAGCTTTTTTTTTTTTCCTTTTTGTCTTTTTTTTCGTGACCGGCAACGGATCGCAACCCTCATTGTCGCGCCCGTACTGGACCAGGACCGGCAACGGGATCGCAACCCTCGGTGTTGCGCCCGC